CAATGACAGTCAACAGAGCTAAATTAACACAAAACACAAGCCAACAGCCAGGCTTCAAGTGAGTGTGCTAGCTCTCTCAGAGGACTTTGATAAACATTAGGTCAATAACATGAAGAATCTACCACAGTGTTGGGCATGTCAGAGGTGATCAAAAAGCTGATTCCTGGGGCTAGAGGATAGTGTAGATGGTAAAGTGTTTGTCTTGTAAGCATGGGAACCTTAGTTTGATTCCCCCAAAATCCAGGTATGCTGGCACAGGCTTATAATCCTAGTACTGGAGAGGCAGAGAAAAGAGGATCCCTGTGGCTTGCTTGACAAACAATCTAGCTTAATTGGTGAGTTCCCAGCCAATGAGAGACTGCCTCAAAAGGAGATGCATGTTGTTCCTGAGAATGATGGCACTGGAAGTTATCCTCCAAGTGACACACACACACACACACACACACACACACACACACACACACACCCCACTGTCCTCTTTCCAACATGATAACCAATGTCAGTATGGGACTTCATCAAACACAATCATCTACAGATTCCCAAGAGGCCTAATTTATACTCCCAATGCACAGGTACGTATGGACTTCTAATACATGAGGGCTTCTAAATAAATACTAAGTGATCCACAAAGGTGACCCATGATGTTCAAAATCACTTTCATTTAAAGAGGATATCAATAGGCAACATGAAAAACATACTGCAGAATGGGGGAAAGCTAGATTAATTGAAATTAAACTATTAATGTTCCTTTTATAAGCTCTGGATGGAGAATGAACAGAAATTTCCTCCTTCCCTACTCCCCCCTCCTTCCTGTCCCCTCTTCCCTTCCCTGCCTACCTCTCCTCACTGTTTCCTAGGAAGGTTTTGAACTAGTGAGCTTAACCCAGTTTCCCCAGGAGCTGAAGGCCAGGCATGGGCCACCATACCAACTTTATGTTAATCTTACACTCTTGGCATTTCGCTTCTCAATTGGGATGCAGGCCTTGGCCCTGAATATAGTCTTCACCCTGGCATGGGGGTCAGCATGTTGAACAGGAGCCCTGGCATGTAACAATATTCAGAAATGAGGACTCCAGATGTGGGGAGTGGGGGGTTGTTCCTGTGGTGGTGTAGCTGCCACACAGAGGGTGGTGTAAAAGAGGGGTTGTAACTCCTACATCAGATGTGCTTAGGCATAAATCATGAGCTTATAGAAGAGGGTGCTTCCAATGCTGTTGTCTTTTTTAAATTCATAATGCAATGCTACTTTTGTAAAAGTCTTCATGAAATTATTAGAGCAATAACATTAACACAATCATACAAGATACAATCAAGACAGCATATAAGCCTGGTTACAAAGCCTTACAGATCTGAAAGTTTCATGATCCACTACAAATGGAGAAACCAGCTTGTCTCCGCTCACAGCTCACCTGTGGACATGAGGGCAGAGCAACCGGGGGCTTCCCCACTAGTCCACAAGGCGGCTCTCAAGCTCTCTTACCCTCCTACCGGTCAGAGGGCGATGGCGATTCGCAGGTGGTCTGATCATTGAGGGAGGGGCACTGTGATAAGAAAAAAACTATGAAGTCTATTACTTAATACAATATTGTTCTAAAAATCAGAACGTTACACTAAGAGAGGATGGCTAGTAGCATTGAGTGACCTCGGAGTCTGAGGTGAAAGGCACCCTGTCTTTAATATTTGGGTTAGGGCTGGGAGGCAGCATAGTTGGTATAGAATGCCTACTCAGAATTCATGGAGCTCTGCATAAACTTGATGTAGCGGCATAACCCATAGTCCTTCAACTCCGGAGGTGGAGGCAGGGGGTTCTGAAGTTCAAGGTCATCCTGGAGGGCTACATAGTGAGTTCATGGTCAGTCTGGTTGAAATAAGGCTCTGGGTTTTGCTTTGAATATTTTGAAATGCAGAGTTTTATTGCATTAGTTTTGAAAAATTGTCATATGTAGGGCATTCAGCAATGCAGGTAGGTCACTGTATGAACAATGGTCCTGCAGGCTACAAGCAGCAGGGGGTATGAGGTGGGGTTTTGTGAATCATGCCTATAACCCAGTTTTAGAAAGGCTAAGAAATAGGGATTGTTAGAACTAACAAGCCAGCCTGGGTTACAGAGTAAGACCCTGTCTCAAAAAAAAAAAAAAAACAAAAAACTATGTGTGCGTGTGTATTCACACACTCATGTGGGGGTGGGGAGGGGCAGATATGGAGGGAAATGGCAATGAAGGGTCAGAAAATGTTCCCAGTCAACAGTTTTTCTGTTCTGTCTGTTTTAAGACACCCCCCCTTGAGTCTTAAATAGAGAAAAATGACATCAATATATTTTCAGAAGGAAAATATGAATGATTGAGAAGCACACAGATTTCAGGAATATTGGTATATACCCTCCCCAAACTCATAAAAAATAAGCAACATCATACATAGTTTTTCTTTCTGCAGACATGTTCTCAATAATGTAGTCCAAGGTTGGCCTCCACCTTCACACACACAGCCCCATCTCACCTCAGACTCCTAAATGCTGGGATTAGGGGTGTGTATCACCATGCTTGACTAATAAAATACATTTCTAAAGATTTGTTTTATGCATATGCATGTGTGCCTGAGCAACATATGTGTGCTGGAACTCTTAGAGATTAGAGGAGAGCAGTGGATCCCCTGGAGTTGGAGTTATAAGTGACTGTCAGCCACAATGTGGACACTAAGAACTGAACCCAGCTTTTCTGCAAGAGCAGTGTAAGCGCCTTAATCACGTAAACATCTCTGCAGCCTATAAAACATTTCTGACTTAGGTTTTTAAAAGTGTGTGTGTGTGTGTGTGTGTGTGTGTGTGCGCGCGCGCGCGCAAGCACACACACGTGCATGAGCATGGACAGGTGGGTACTTACCATGGACTTCATATGGAGGTCAGAGGATACCTTTTCAGGAATCAGTCTCTCCCTCCACCTTGGTGCTTTGTTTGTTTGAAGCTATTCTGTGCACTGCACTGGCTCATGGGAGTGCTGGGATTACAGGTACACATCACTGTACACAACTTTTCACATGGATTCTGAGAATTTAACCCAGGGAGTCAGGCTTGCTTGCAAGAACTTTTATTCACTGAGCTATCTCAAGTCCCAATATTTAGATTTAGGATTCCAAAGCTCCCAAGTCTGCACTCCAAAAAATAGAATCAAGAGAGTACTTTATTGATGAAAGGTTATACATATTTACACAAATCATTGACGAAAGTAGATAGTATAACAATTGCTAAATGCTGCTTATAAAAACAAGAAGCCCATCTTGGTGAGGGAAGGTTTAAGTAACCCTGGCACTGTGGGTCACAAACATAGGTGGATTCCAGAGGCTCTCTCTGGCCAGCATACCTAGCTGGAATCTGGATGCCCATCTGTGACATCCTAATACCAACCCCCCACACACACAGAAAGAGAGACAGAGAGAGGGGGGGGGCTGATCCAAAACAGGTGATAGGATAAGGAGCATCATGGTCCCTCCCCAGCCTTTCCCTGTCAGTTTGGTCTCTTAGCACTTCTTTGAAAGCCTTTTCTCACTCATCACGTGGTGCCAATTATGTATCCTGGCAAATCATGACAAAGATGAACATTTCAAGCTACAGAGAGAACTTGACTGTCCTGGAGTGACATTTTTCTGGTGGACATTTATACTCCGCCTACCCTCGACATCCCCCACTTCTGCTTCTAAGGAGCAATCTGACCGTAGAATGACATCTTTCAGAGTCTCTGGAAGTCCTTTTAGCAAGGAGCAGGGCAAGAAACCTACAAAAGACAGCTGCTTAAGTGTTAACCCTAGACAGGTTCTTTCAAGCATGCCCTCCAGACACTGCTTAGGGACACTGCTTGGGGGGAACTAGGGAGGAGGGGTGCTTCTTTATTGGCTTGAAAGCATGGAGGAAGGCATACAAATCTACTGGTGAACTGGGGACACCCCCTCAACTGTAGGGTTTTACCTAATTTGCAGGAAGTAGGCTGGAAATATGGAAACCCAGGAGATAGCTAAATCTGGGTTGTCTCTCGTGAACAGACAGGTCGTTTCCTAAATAATAGTCTCTAAAGTGTGCTAACCACATCATCTCCTCTGAGAGCAGGGAGCCTGGCAAAGGCCACCTCCTCAATTGCCTCATGGTGTCTTGTCAAAGTGACCCCTATCATGTCATTCTCTGTGTATCATCTGTGCATTGCTGATTGCAGGGCTCAGATGGGCTGATGTCATCTTCAGAGAGCCATCCGGTCTTCAAACTCTTGAGCAGGAGCAGAAGAGCCCAGAAGCCGTAGTTGCACTGCCCAAGTCCAGAGAAGCTGTCAGTGCTGGATCTGCAGCTAGTGGCTCAGAAAGGCCCGGGAGCACGTGGGGTGTTCGCCCTGGTTTTCAGGCTCCCATTTCCTCCTGTGGTCTCAGGACCTCAGCTGCGCAGCCTTTGGTAAATATGAAAAGAACCCAGTCGTGGAGAAAAGCCCGCACTCACCTGGCCATAGGCTTCTTTGGATCAGGATGCAGGTCCCCACGCCGCAGGGCGGCGAAGTTCCGCGAAGCAAGTCTGGGTCACCGAGCCACTTGCACCCGGGGCTTCAATAGCAGCGTGGTCGGGGTTTGGGTGTGTTTCTGCCCTAAACAGAGACACTGCAAAACGAGATGGATCAGAAATGAGCTCCGGGTGAGTCCGGAGTCGGCCTGTCTGAGACAGACAAAGTGCACGGCGACCCGGGGGCGGCGTGGAGTGGGACAGTGGCGCCGCACACCGCGCACTTCCTGTTCAACGCGCGCCGCCTTCCACCGCCCAGCGCTCCCGGAGCCTGAGTCTGTGCCAGGTTCGGCCCCTACAGTCCCTCGAGTCCTGGGGGACTCTGCTCAGAGGCCGCCCGGGGCGGGCGCCCTGCCCAATGCTCCCCTAGGGGCTGGGGCGCGCCCTTCGGCCCGGCCCGCAGAACCCAGCCAGCCGCCGCCACAGTTTTCTGCGGCCACGCGCCAGCCCAATTGCGAAGAGCCTTCGCTTTTGCACCTCCTCTTCCCCCTCTGCCCTCCCTCTTGCCTAGAGAGGAGGCCCTCCGGGTCCCAGGCTCCCTGCTGCTTTATTGTGCGGCCCAGGGTTATGCATTTCTATCTAAGCTTCTCTCTCTGGACACCGATTCCATCGAGGCACGAGCACGGGAAGGCTGTTTTCCAAATTGCTGTTGTTAATTGCACCTGCCTGGCCAATTACCTCTGGGAATTTGTGGGAGGAGCCGAGAGGTGGAAAATGTTGCTTCGCTTTGTCGTGGGAGGGAAACTTTGTCACCCAGCACGAGACTTCTGCCACGCGTAACCATAAGCAGCGCGGTCCTGGATTCTGCACTCGATGATTCGGTAGGAGGTAGAGGTCACTCTGACCCGGCATCCCGCGGACCTCCAGCCCCTCGGGTGCCGCCCCGCGTGTTACCTGCGCCACCCGCCCTCCCCGCGGAAGTCCCCACGAGGTGTTTTCAGGGTGGAAGGACAGTCATAAAGAGCGCGCGGCTCCAGTGTAACGGCAGCAGCCCTGGGAGGCAGCGAGGGGACCAAATCCCGGGGACGAGGCACCAGAATTAACTTCTGGCTAAAGTTATGGGAAGCGCAGCCATGGACACCAAGAAGAAGAAAGAGGTTTCCAGCCCTGGAGGGAGCGGCGGCAAGAAAAACCCCAGTTTGAAGAGACGGTCATTACGAGTGCACATTCCGGTGAGTCCCGTTCCCAGAGCTCCAGATTCCCGCAGCGCCGAGGCGGTTAACACGGGACACCCCCCCCCCCCCCCCCGCGTGCCTCCTGTCCCTCCTGTCCCTTCGGGAGGCTGGGGAGGGGGAGGGGCAAGGCCCAAGCTGGGCCGCGGAATCCATGGTTAGATCTCAGTCAGCACTCGCGTGGAGCTCCGGAACTGTCCCGGGCAGGGGCAAGGGCAGGGGTGTCTGCTGGGAAGCGGGGACGCGGAGCGCGCTCCCGAGTGCTTGTAACCTGGTGGAGGACTGGGCGTAGCCCCGGATCTGGCCGGTTCGGGTGCTGGGGAAGGGGGTGGTGAGTCGTGTTGTTTTGCTGAAAAAGGACGGTGTGGACTGCGCTCTGGGGGGGGGGGGGAGGCTGTGCGCCGCCGCCGGGGACCAAGGAAAGGAGTAGTGGGTGGGGACATCGCGGGGGCCACGGTGTGGGTCCACCCCCAAATGGCTCTCCCTCCACACCAATTTCCTCAGGGTTCATTTGAGTCTCGCGGCTGGGGTCCTTTTGCAGTGACTTCCTGGATTTGGCTCCAGGAACATTCTGGGCTTCTGTGGAATTTGAAGGTTAGAGGAGCCCTCATCTATACAGGGCTGTAGCTAACTTCAGCTCAAATCACCACTCTGCCACCTTGATTAGACTTTAGCGACATTGATCTAAATAACCAGAGAGAGCAGCATGCAGAAGAGATTGTTCACAGTGCTGATCACCAATCAGTCTGGCTTGACCTAGAGGGTAGCCCAAGGATGCTGGTTTTCACCTCCATAATGGCTGCATCCTTCGAGATGACCAGCCAAGCAAAGATTTTTACACATGCACATGTTAGGCAGTGTGGTAGAGCACATTCAGCCCCATCATTGCTGATCCCTGTCACAGCATAGGCAGAGCTGGCTTGCCAGGGCTACCTGGTTCTCATTTACCCCCAGGCCCTTCCTTTTAGATGCTCTCTACCACCTTTTAATTCCAGCCCAAAAGTACAATACTGAGTGGAGACTTGGGGCTTGGAGCCCCTACGGCTAATGGGTTCTTTGGGGAGCAGGATGAAGTTGGGTATCTGGGTAAGTCATGAGTCCTGCAGTGACTCAAACAAACAGCAATACGAGTTTTATTTGAGAAAACACTCCTACTTACATTGCCCATGTAAGACATGTTTAACGTTATCATGTGAGCTGGCCCTTTAACCACTTAGCTTATCTTGTTTGTCTCAGAAACTGGTGCCCATTTGCCCACCTTGTAGGAAGGCTGAAATAAAATAATAAATGGGAAAGCTCTTTACAATGTAAAGTGCTGTATACATGTGGTTATTACATGCACACCAGAGTAAAGAAAGAGATCCCAGCACTTAGGAGGCTGACACATGAGGGTTGTTGTAAATCTAAGCCTAGCCTGGGCTACACAGCAAATGGTCTCAATAAGATGAATAATAAAAGTGGGCAAGGAGAGAGGAGGGGACTAAGTAGTGCGTGCCCATTGAGCAAGCCACATTGAACTGAGGCCAAATGGAGAGGCTGATCCCCCACTCTATGTGTGTTTGTCATGGAAGTGGGGTGATATGTGTGACAGTAGAGGGCAAAATCCAGCACCAGCTAAGGGCCTGATAGGCTGAAGGCTGAAAAGCAACATCAAAGCATATTCTTGGCATAACCCAGCCCTTATTGAAAGCAGTGTTCACTCCATTGTCACACAGCTGTTCACCAAATGTGACCAAATGTGACCTATGCCTGATGTTTTCATTAGGATTAGGTTCAGGTCCAAGGGAGAGAGTTCTGTCTCTTAAGAGTGCTTGTATTTACTGGTGGGACCAGAGGCTCCTCATATCTACCCACTAATGGTGACCCAGTGATTCCTGTGCTGGGAGAGGCTGTGAACTAGGGACTTCCAACAGGTCAGTTCCACAACAACTGCTTATGGTGAGACCACATCAGATGCAGAAGGAGATGGTACTTCTAGATCCAGTGCAATGCAGTGCCCGATGGAAGGAAGGGAATGGTCTGAGATCAGATCAAGTAGGACCCTGAAGAAAGGTTACCAGAGAGTAAACAGAAGAGGCCCAATTAAAAATGGATTTCAAACAACATGCATTTTTTTCTTTAACCTTAAGTGTGTCCCATGCTGTGTTTTGAATATACTTGCACTAAAACTGGTCTATTGTTATGCAGACTCCTGTTTAACTGGGCATCCTGTATCTCCTCATACAACCTTGACTCAAAGGCCAGGCTCTGCCAGGCATAGTGGTACACACCTCATCCCAGTACTCTGGAATCAGAGGCCCAGAGATCTCCTTATGCTCAAAGCCAACCTGGTCCTCTCAATGAATTCCAGGCCAGCCAAGACTCAGAAATGGTTTACAAAGACAGAACTGCAGCAAAGACCATGCCCCCTATGCTCAAGCCTGCCCTAAGTCCCCCATATCCTTGTGGGCAGCTTTGGGCATGTGTCTTTCTCCCTATCTAAAAGATTCTTCCCAGCTTTGGCATCTGGTTCAGCTGAATGTGGGGCCACCTCAAGTGCTGGGATAGCGTCTGTGTTGGTTACTTTGGTGCTGAAACAACAGCTCATCTTGTATCTGATCCACAGATGTGAGGCAGGGGTTGGGGCAACTACCAGGGGAACCTGACGCCTATCCCCAGTAACATACCTCCTCCACAAAGCCATACCTTTTCATTCTTCTCAAGCAGTTCTCCCAGCTTGGGGGGGGGCAAGCATTCAAATATAGGATCCTGTGGGGGCTGTTCTTATCTTAGCCATCACAGTACTCAAAGGAAAGACTTCCACCAAGTAGGGTGTCATTGGGTAGACAATTCTGATGTGGATGCACAGACCACTTCAGGAGAATCCAGCAAGATGCTGCTGTTCCCCCCTAGGGACCCGCTTTTTAACATATCCTCATGGCCTGTCTGGCTTCCTCAAACTTCTTTCTTAATCCTTTGCTAACACTGTTTAACTTAAAGTATTCACCAAGACCTAAGCTCTTGTCTGGGAGCTTTTTCAGGGGCCTAGACTGAAGCCATTAAACTTTGAGAAGTAGCCAGACACACCAGCAAGATGAAGTGCTTTGGCTGACTTAAGCAGTCAGAGTCCAGAGCCCTTCTGTAGGGGAAGATAGTTGGGGGATGCTCCCAGGAAGACAGGAAGAAAGACCTGAGCGAGGCAGGACCCTGTGTGACACAAGCTCCCAGAAAGGTTAGGGTCTTCACTTATTACACATTAGTGACAGAACACACATGTTCCTAGCCCTCTTGGGAGAGGAGCTCCTGAAGTCCTTCACTGTCACTGGAGACAAACTAAAATAAGAGGCAAGTCAGAAGGTTGTGGTGGTATAACTGGGCTTGAGTGAGCTCAAGATACTGCCACCTGCTGTGTGCCTAACTTCTCACCCTGCTTGAGGCCACAGGGCCCTTGGTGCTGTTGATGACCTGTGACCACACTCCCTGCAGAGCATAGCAATAGGAATAGTGTTGTGACCCTGGGGTTGGAGGATCAAGTGACAATATGATCTCTGTCCCTCTCACCACTGAAACACCCTGTACTGGAGTCTGAGGAAGACATTTGGTTTTGGCCTTGATAAAACGGTTTGTACATTCTCTTAGATGGCTGGATTTATGGCAGGGCTTACCAACGTGTGGTCTTGAACCAGCTTAAGTATAATAGCACAGTCTAATATGCTTTTAAAAATGTCAAATGCTAGGTGTCAGTCTAAACTACTGAATTGGAATATCTGAGACAAAACCCATGATTTAGTTACTCATTAAGTTCTCCGTGGGATTCTTGCACCTCCTGGTTTAAAACAGTTGGATTCTAGCCTCCATTTCTTCTGTGTGCTTTCCTGTCTTCCCATCCTTTCATCTATTGAGCATTCATCGATGTACTGACTGGTTTAGTGTTCGCTTGACACAAGCTAGAAACATCAGAGAGGAAGGATAGATCCTCCATAAGATCCAGCTGTGAGGCATTTTCTTAATTAGTGATGAGTGGGGAAGGGTCCACCTAATTGTGGGTAGTGCCATCCCTGGGCTCGTGGTCCTGGGTTCTATAAGAAAGCAGGCTGAACAAGCCATGTGGAGCAAACAAGTAAGCAGCATCCCTCCATGGACTCAGCAGCAGCTCTTGATGCCAGGTTCCAACCCTGTCTGAGTTCCTGTCCTGACTTCCTTTGATGCTGAACAGTGATATGGAAGTATAAGTTAAACCTTTTCCTTCCCAACTTGCTTTTGGTCATTTGTTTTATCACAGCAGTAAAACCCCTAAGTAAGACAATTACCTATATGTGATCTATCTAATTTATCCAAGTATCCATGTAATATTTGTGCACCTATCCAAAATCTGTTCATCCATCTATTAATCCAACCATCCATTCATCCAACCATCATCTATCTTTTCATATATTATCTACCCATATAGTCATCATCTATCTAATCTGTCCAAATATTCATGTATCATCTTCATCCATTCATCATCTATCCATGTCTCTTTATATTCAAGTATCCATGTATCATCTACATACCTATCTTATCTGTCATCTCCATCCATCAATCATGTATCCATTGATCGCTGTCTATCCATACATCATCTATATATCTTTTATAAGTCATCTGCACTGTTCATCCATCATTGAGAAGAACTACCCTTTACTACTAATTGACAACGGCAGGATATTTCTGGCTTCCAAATAAAGATTAGCCAGCAGCTGGAGTAGCCAATGTGAGTCAGCATCTTAGGTCATGCTTCAGTAGCTTGGTGCATCTTTGGATGTTTGTGAGCATAAACTCTTAGGGGACCCAGATGTGGGAAGCTTCAGCAGCTCAGTGCTGGGCCCTAGGACTCTCTTTTGGCTTCAGATTTACTAACAAAGCCTGAATGTTGTGTGTCAGTGTCTTCATGTGAAAGATCTGGCCAGTGAATAGGCTTCTTGAATGTGGGTACAGCATGCCAACTGAATGTCAGATGGGTACTGCTGATACATTTGGGGCAC